TGTCTCTAAATTGGAGAGACATGGATTTGACGGATGGACCACTCGGTGGATAAGGAATTGGCTGGATGGTCACACTCAAAGAGTTGCAGTCAACGGCTCGATGTCCAAGTGGAGACCAGTGACGAGTGGCGTTCCTCAGGGGTTGGTATTGGGACCAGCGCTGTTTAACATATTTGTCAGCGACATGGACAGTGGGATTGAGTGCACCCTCAGCAAGTTTGCCAATGACACCAACCTGTGTGGTGCAGTTGACATGCTGGAGGGAAGGGATGCCATCCAGAGGGACCTTGACAGGCTTGAGAGGTGGGCCCGTGCGAACCTCATGAAGTTCAACAAGGCCAAGTGCAAGGTCCTGCACATGAGTCGGAGCAATCCCAAGCACAAATACTGGCTGGGTGGAAAAGGGATTGAGAGCAGCCCTGAGGAGAAGGACTTGGGCATGTTGCTTGATGAGAAGCTCAGCATGACCCAGCAGTGCGTGCTTGCAGCCCAGAAAGCCAACCGTATCCTGGGCTGCATCAAAAGAAGCGTGACCAGCAGGTCGGGGGAGGTGATTCTTTCCCTCTACTCTGCTCTCGTGAGACCCCACTTGGAATACTGCGTTCAGCTCTGGGGCCCCCAAGATAAGAAGGACATGGACCTGTTGGAGCAAGTCCAGAGGAGGGTCACGAAGATGATCAGAGGGCTGGAGCACCTCTCCTATGAAGTTGGCATTGTTCAGCCTGGAGAAGAGAAGGCTCCAGGGAGACATTATAAGGGGGCTTACAAGAAAGCTGGAGCGGGATTTTTTACAAGGGCATGTAGTGATAGGACAAGGGGTAATGACTTTAAACTGAAAAGGGGTAGATTTAGATTAGATATAAGGAAGAAATTCTTCACTGTGTGAGTGGTGAAGCACTGGAACAGGTTACCCAGAGAGGTGGTAGATGTCCCATGCCTGGAAGTGTTCAAGACCAGATGGGGCTTTGAGCAACCTGGCCTAGTGGAAGGTGTCCCTGTCCATGGCAGTTCCAGGGATTGGAACCAGATGATCTTTAAGGTCCCTTCCAACCCAAACCATTCTATGATTCTATAAATAACAGCATACAACACTAAGCATATCATCATTAACTACAAGAAAGCTGAGGCCTGAAAATGAAGGCTTGAAGCTCTATTCTGATGCTGTATTTTGATCTGCCATAGTAGCAACAGAAGACAAGAAAGACAAGTCCAATGAAGCTAATGGAACTATTTTGACTTTACACTAGTGAAAAAAAGAAATTTAACAAGTTAAAAATTACCCATATTCTGCATTCTGTCCACAAGGTTATGGCTTATTTTTCTTATCATAAGGAATATAAACTGGCTTTAATTATTTCCTGTTGTACCTTTGACCTCCTGACTGAATCTCTTGGTGAGAACTTACTGAAATTTCTCCTCAAATGGAACCCTATAATTTAGTCCCACAGTTAAATGAGTTGCCCAGAAGCAACACGCGTACCTGTTAATTACGAATCAGCATCTTCATATGGCTTTGGGCTCTCAGAATTAGGTGACATGCAGGAAACTGCAGAAACAGAATGGCATACAAAGAAACACATGTTTTTATTTATCCCTACAACACATTGAATAGATAGGGCAAGGATGAGAACAATGGAAGGGTACCTCATAATTATTATGTCTAGATGGGAGTACTCTTGGCCAAGTACTAGCCATTTCTTGACTCCATAGCAAAGTCCAGGGATGCACTAGTTCCCCTACTTCCATCTCCTGGTTTTCAACAGAGAAAACAGGAACATACGATTGGATTTGTGGTTTCTAGACTTGCCTGCACTCCCAGAGTCACCTTATTTAAATCTTAGCTTTCCTTGTCCCAGGCAATCTTCAGTAGTGGCACTGGAAAGCAGTTCCCCTGACTGAAGTCTCTACCTTTGACCCGACAATCAGTGTGAGCTTACAAGAAGGCCAGTGTGCTTTTTAAGGTTTTTTTGATTGTTACAGGATATCTGAACCTGGTCACTTTGTGTTATGCACTTAAGGGACTGAGGATCAAGCAAACTATATCACTGTATTATCCAGGCCATCAGTGAAATTATTCATCAAGGTCCTCTCCCCAGATGGAATAAAGCCTTGGTGTCTATTGGGCCTATGCATACCACAAAAGTCAAAGCAGGGATATAGATAAATATATTAATCAGAAAGAAAAAGAAACTAATCTACCACGCTCTTTACAGACATGCATATTTTAAATGCATTAAATCTTTGAATGTATTTTTGTGATTATTTAAAATGAAATAATAAAAGGTTCTATGCATAATATGTTTGCCACTTATATCTGAAACCTAAAGGTTCATTTTTTTCTATTTTCCTGTATCATCATGCATAGCATTAGAAAAGTTCACCACGCAAAGGGTTTGGAGAGTTGAAATTATCTGGGTTTTGTAAATATATAACAACATTGTACAAATTCTTGTTTCCAGTGCTTTCAAGTTTGGTGTTGGCATCTCCCAATCAAATGAAATAGTATACAGTAAATATGTAGAAATAAAGAACCACTTCAGGTCCTTCATATCCCTAAGTGAGGTAAAATCCTGTCATTGTTGGTAGTTGTATCATGTTAACGTCCTGAGTAAAAAATTACAGATCACGAACTGCTTACTTATTAAATAGAACTGCAGTAAGATTTAGTTAAAAACTGAAATCATTAATTTCTGTGAAAGTCATAGACTATTTCAAAGGGATCATTCAGCTAAAAATGAAATGAGGTAGGATTAAAAAATAATGCTTTAAAATATAATTTAAAAAATCTTTCATATATAAGAGAAACAAGCTGCTTTGATTCATAGGCCTGGGTAGTAAGTACTGCTACAACATCACACAAAATTTAGTGATAGACTTCAAATTTCCAAACCAGCATAACAGAATTAATTGAACCACACCCTGCATAGTCTATGGAACTGAATGATTCAACCAACTGAGGAGGATATTTTGCTCATTGCCTCATTTTTCTTTTGATCTTCCTGGGGCTTTGATCTGAGAGGGAGTGAAAGAGTAAGAATTGAAATTCTGAATGTGAAATTGATATATTATGTGATAAACCAAAGCAGTTTCAAAAAGCATAACCTGTGTTTCCATCAGTTTCAAACTCCCATCTACCAAAAGAACTGCTCCATTTCATTCCCCTATTTTATAAGTCCCTTTGTAGCCATTTTCCCACCACATACTATGCTCATCTCAAAACCATAAAATCCATAAAAATTACAGCTCTATAAATTTGTTAAGATAGCTCCACTTTGCAATAGCATTGATATTAAGAAATGTTATTATTTTTTAAGTCTTTCCAAGCACATTCGAAGTCTCTCATTCTGTTTTTTTTCTCTTCTCTTCTCTTCTCTTCTCTTCTCTTCTCTTCTCTTCTCTTCTCTTCTCTTCTCTTCTCTTCTCTTCTCTTCTCTTCTCTTCTCTTCTCTTCTCTTCTCTTCTCTTCTCTTCTCTTCTCTTCTCTTCTCTTCTCTTCTCTTCTCTTCTCTTCTCTTCTCTTCTCTTCTCTTCTCTTCTCTTCTCTTCTCTTCTCTTCTCTTCTCTTCTCTTCTCTTCTCTTCTCTTCTCTTCTCTTCTCTTCTCTTCTCTTCTCTTCTCTTCTCTTCTCTTCTCTTCTCTTCTCTTCTCTTCTCTTCTCTTCTCTTCTCTTCTCTTCTCTTCTCTTCTCTTCTCTTCTCTTCTCTTCTCTTCTCTTCTCTTCTCTTCTCTTCTCTTCTCTTCTCTTCTCTTCTCTTCTCTTCTCTTCTCTTCTCTTCTCTTCTCTTCTCTTCTCTTCTCTTCTCTTCTCTTCTCTTCTCTTCTCTTCTCTTCTCTTCTCTTCTCTTCTCTTCTCTTCTCTTCTCTTCTCTTCTCTTCTCTTCTCTTCTCTTCTCTTCTCTTCTCTTCTCTTCTCTTCTCTTCTCTTCTCTTCTCTTCTCTTCTCTTCTCTTCTCTTCTCTTCTCTTCTCTTCTCTTCTCTTCTCTTCTCTTCTCTTCTCTTCTCTTCTCTTCTCTTCTCTTCTCTTCTCTTCTCTTCTCTTCTCTTCTCTTCTCTTCTCTTCTCTTCTCTTCTCTTCTCTTCTCTTCTCTTCTCTTCTCTTCTCTTCTCTTCTCTTCTCTTCTCTTCTCTTCTCTTCTCTTCTCTTCTCTTCTCTTCTCTTCTCTTCTCTTCTCTTCTCTTCTCTTCTCTTCTCTTCTCTTCTCTTCTCTTCTCTTCTCTTCTCTTCTCTTCTCTTCTCTTCTCTTCTCTTCTCTTCTCTTCTCTTCTCTTCTCTTCTCTTCTCTTCTCTTCTCTTCTCTTCTCTTCTCTTCTCTTCTCTTCTCTTCTCTTCTCTTCTCTTCTCTTCTCTTCTCTTCTCTTCTCTTCTCTTCTCTTCTCTTCTCTTCTCTTCTCTTCTCTTCTCTTCTCTTCTCTTCTCTTCTCTTCTCTTCTCTTCTCTTCTCTTCTCTTCTCTTCTCTTCTCTTCTCTTCTCTTCTCTTCTCTTCTCTTCTCTTCTCTTCTCTTCTCTTCTCTTCTCTTCTCTTCTCTTCTCTTCTCTTCTCTTCTCTTCTCTTCTCTTCTCTTCTCTTCTCTTCTCTTCTCTTCTCTTCTCTTCTCTTCTCTTCTCTTCTCTTCTCTTCTCTTCTCTTCTCTTCTCTTCTCTTCTCTTCTCTTCTCTTCTTCCCTTCCCTTCCCTTCCCTTCCCTTCCCTTCCCTTCCTTTCCCTTCCCTTCCCTCAGTGTTCTTTTTGGCAGTTGTAGCCATAAGGCAGCAGAGGAAGAAGTCTCCCTTTTCAGAGAAAATGGAAGAATTCAGAGAGAATATTGTCAGGTATGATGATGAAGGAGGTGGCGAGGAGGACACAGAAGCCTTTGATATTTCAGCACTGAGGACCCACACTGTCATGCGAACGCACAAACCTCGGAAGAAGGTCACCACAGAAATCCACAGCCTCTACAGACAGTCTCTGCAGGTTGGCCCTGACAGTGCAATCTTCAGGCAATTCATTTCAGAAAAGCTTGAAGAAGCAAATACAGATCCTAGTGCTCCTCCATATGACTCCCTTCAGACCTATGCATTCGAGGGGACTGGCTCTTTGGCAGGATCCCTCAGCTCTTTAGGTTCAAACATGTCAGACATGGATCAAAGTTATGACTACCTTGCAGACTGGGGACCTCAATTTAAAAAGCTTGCAGGCATGTACACTTCCCACAGAAGTGTGGGGGATTAGTTACTCTTTGGTTTGCTGTTTTATTTTCCTAATTCTCAGCAACCAAAAATAACTGTGGATTTTTAAAAAGGAGATCATCCCACATTTAAGCATGAAAATAAAAGCCCCCCCCTTTTTTTTTTTATCTGGAAAGTCTTGGATGTAGAGGTCTTTTGAAAAAATCACACCAGGCGTGTCATGAGGTGAGGGGATGGAGACTCCCCTTTGAAAATCTTGTGGCTATTTAGGTGCCTGAATGCAAACTGTGCTGCTTTGGATATCTAAGCTTCCTTCTAGGTACTGAAAACCTGGGTCCTGCAAGTACAAAAGGAGGAGTAGAAGCCATAAATGAATATTGTAAATATTTTGTCGTCCATAAGCTTTAAAGTGTTTCCAAAGTTAAGACAGACTTTTGCTGTTGCAGTTGAATATATTCATTAACCAAAGATAAACATGCATATTTGTATAACACTTCATTATATAAATATACTTGTGTGAAAAAAGTAGACCCTAGATAGTCTAATACAATTGTCAGAAGCGCTCACAGAATCATCTATTTATTATTCTTAGGATGATAAAGCTAAAACAAATGTCTTTTTCTATCAGTGTAAAAATAAAGACCTATTACAACATCAGCAAGTATTTACTGCCATTTTAGTTTTTAATGGAGCTATTGGAAAATGTATAAACCAATACTTAATTTAGCAAATAAGACAGAAAAAAAAAAGTCAGTTCAAGTTAGAATCAATATTCAACACAAATACTGCAATCAACTACATTATACGTTACTGTACTTAGAACAAAATGCTATCTAAATGCAGGCATTTTTCCTTTTAAGGAAGTTAAAGAGTTTAAAGGATGACTGATTTACCAGCATAGATTTATTTTTTTATTATGGAATATAAAATTATCTGCAGTAGTCAGTTTTATAACAATATTAAAAATCTTTAAAATGCTAAGCTGATGGTTTTAAAACTTTATGTATAACATTAGATAATAAGATAATAAAATGCTTTAATGTTTATCCACTACTGAAAATGATCCTGCATCATTCTGCGAGACTCAAGTCAGACTTCAAAATTAATTTTGCACTGTATTTTTTCCAAATATTCCTTAATGAATATAAAACTGTCTCAGAATATTTCTTTACTCTTACTTATACCACTACTGTCGTATATTAAACCTACTGTCGTGGTTTAACCTCAGGTGGCAACTGAGTACCACACAGCCCCTCACTCACTCCCCCCACACCCCGGTGGGATGGGGGAGAGAATTGGAAGAGTAGAAGTGAGAAAAACTTGTGGGTTGAGATAAAACAGTTTAATAATTGAAATAAAATAATAATAATGTAATAATAATAATAATAATACACAAATCAAGTGATGCACAGTGCAATTGCTCACCACCCACTGACCGATGCCCAGCCAGTCCCCGAGCAGCGGCCCCCCCGGCCAGCTTCCCCCAGTTTATGTACTGAGCATGACGTCACATGGTATGGAATATCCTTTTGGCCAGTTTGGGTCAGCTGTCCTGGCTGTGCCCCCTCCCAGCTTCTTGTGCCCCTCCAGCCTTCTCAGTCGGTAGAGCATGGGAAGCTGAAACGTCCTTGACTAGTGTAAGCACTACCCAGCAACAACTAAAACATCGGTGTGTTATCAACATTGTTTTCACCCTAAATCCAAAACACAGCACTGTACCAGCTACTAGGAAGAAAATTAACTCTACCCCTGCTGAAACCGGGACAACTACCCAGTAGCACTTTTGGATCCGAGGGTCATCAAATATATTCAAAGTGGTCTGTCTGGAAAAAGCAACCTGTCTGTTTTTTATTCACCTCTCTTCCATCAGGTACTTATTTTACAGAAATTACATCGTGTAATCAACTCATACATTTCCACAGCTAAAAGCTGACATCAGGATAAAGAAAATTATCTAACATGTTTCCCCCCCACACACACCTTTTTTTTTTTTAATAAGATTTTAGGTAGGTGCTACTGAATTACAGAGAGCCAGGCAAATCTTATGCAAGGAAACAAACAAACAAACAGAAACAACAACAGACAAAAAAAGGCATGTAACATACAAGCTCTTCAATGTTTGCTACAATTGCTGTTCACTGAAGAAAACCAAGCTGTGTAGGCTTAGTAGAAAGGTGCCAGTGCAGCATTTAAATTCCTGTCAGTTAAAAATAGAACATGTGGAGGAGTTTGAAAATCAGGAGGGATTTCCAATGTGAGGTCTGGTAAGGGCAGAAATATTATTCATGAGATTCATAGCTGGAAAAATACAGGGGGGGTTCATCCAACCAGGTGCAGATGAAGCAGCATCTGCTTCATAAGGAAAAACTGGTTCTCGCCAGTCTCATGCTAGGATGCCAGTATGAATGAGCAGCTACAAAACATCTTTAAAAGATGCACAAGTAAAAACATTGTATTAACGACTTTAACATTTCTGTTCAATGGTTCCCAAACAGATGTGACAAAATTATTTTTATTTGAGATAATATTGTACATATTAATAATTTGCTCCAAGGAGAGGAATAGAGAAAGAGAGAACAACTAAACATGCACTGGTTCTTGGAGATGGTGAAAAGTACATTTTTAGGACTAGGTCTATAGATTTATGCAGGTTATACCTTAAAAAAATCCTTATTCCAGTGGCATTAATAGAATTCCTTGTGTTTTCAGGTTGTATTTAGTACAAAAGGATAACAATGCCTGATCCTTTCTCAATCCAGAGGTTTCGTCCATTTATGTGGGGAAATAGCTTTGAACACTCAACCATATTTCCACTTATATTATAATTTTCTCTTTTTACTGTAAGGAACTTTAACAATAAATAATTTTTGTAATCATAAACATACTTCCGTGTAATTTTTGTAGCCAGTGTATACCATTGGCAGTAACTTCTACATGAAAGAGAATAATGGCCTACAGTGGATCTTAAATGAACTTTAGCTGAAAAGCATAAGACCGTGTTTGCATAGCAGAGAAAGGGAGTGTTTTGCTAAAAAGTAAGAAGTTATTCCTAGCTGTTACTGGGACACATCTTATTAGGTTCCTGGTATTCAATCTAAGTCAAACCTGTCAATTTATTTCCATATGTGAGAAAAGGATCATTGAACTGACCTAGTAACTTCACACTTCTTTTAATATACTGTACTTAATTTAGCTGAACAAAAAGGTTTTGTAGAAGTGTCTGCTTATTTGAAGGAAGTAAACATTCTGAGAAAGCCAAAATTAAATACATAAGAGATATCAAAATGATTAGTAGTATGAAATTAATAAAGGATAAGTTATAAGCCAGAGTTCTTAATGATGAGATCTATTAACTGTGGAATGGTTTTCCCAAGGGAATCCTCCATTACCTTTATCTTTTAAAATTCATTAGTAGCTAGAATTAGCTATGCTATTGGCTGAAGTGAAGACTGCAAGCATGGTACTAGATGGTAAATATATATTCAGCTGTCCATGACCTGCCTGAGGGAATATATAAGGAAGATTTATTGACTGGTCAAAGGAAGTATGACCATACACACTACTTTTCTGTATGAATGCTTTGAAGAAATGTTCCTGTATATTTCTTTTTCTGTAACATGGTAATGAGACAAGTTAAGAACTAGTGAAATACCTGACAAAAGATTGACTTCCTGTTTCAGTCCTTGCTCATAGGGATTTAGCGTGTTGTGTTATTGGTTTTACTATTTAAAAGCCAAGGAAATGAAGACTATGCATATATTAATAAATGCTTAACATTCAGGTGTTTGAAGTTAAAAAACAAAAGAACAAAATCACTTGATAGCACATTGCAGCTTCAGACTCATTGCTGTGACTGGAAAAGGGTATTTTGTTTATCGATTCACGTAAAATAAAATGTTTTCATTTGATTTTCATTTTGTATATCACGGTGTAGGTTTTTTATTATCATAACACTGAGAAGCAATCCTGCTTGCCACTGAGAATAATCTTAGTCTTTAATTCACATAATTTTCCTCCCGCATTTTCTCACAGATACTGTCATTACATTCCTAGCTTTGCTTTCAAAATTTGCATTGGAAATGTCGTTGTTTTAACACTCATTCTTAACTGTATAGGGTAACCCTGTCAGATGAAAGTAAAATATTTTTGAAAAGACAGTGCGCATTTTACGCTTCAAAGTCAGATCTAATATATGCTATCTGAGGAGTAGATGTTGAAGGGTATTATGTGATTTTGCATTCTGGCAAACAATACATTTTACCTTTGATCCAGAATATGAACAAATAGAATAGAAGTTATATGGAAAAAAAATCAGTAGCTATTAGTAAAGTCTGTAAAATTTCTTTACGAGAAAATTGGTAAACCTATATTTTATAAAGAAAAATAGAGTGGATAAATGTTTATTTAAAAAGTTGACACATTTCACAATAGTAATTTGGATGTTGTCATATTTATTCAGAAAAAAAAAATCCGTCATATATGGGTCTATGTCAGCCTTATGTCTCACACACAGAGTCCAAGGAACAGTAAGATTTAACTATAGTGCATAGAAGGATAAAACATACATACAGAGAGACTGTTTAGATCAGTATGAAACACTTTACCAACAGCAAATAGATAATAACAATAGTCAGAAACATGCATAAGACTCAACAAGATATCTGCCAGCAAAGGCAGTTTGATATATGGCACTAAGAGCAAATATTTATAAATACAATTAGAAACCATCACCACTTCACAAAACTCTCCAATAACAGAAACCCGAACAGGATATCAATGGCTCTTAATTCCCCAAACATTTTAATTGTGATTTAGGTAATGCTTTAATAATATTAAAGTTTATAATTTAAACAATACTCCACATATGGAGGTTCAAATAAGATTGGTTTGTAGAGAAACAATAACATCCACATACATATATCTGACCAAAAGGATATAACAGAAGTTATTGGACTAAAGCTTAAAAGGAGGCAAACCTACCCACAGACATATGATGCATCCCTTCTGACATTGCTATGAGTAAATTAATCTCTGTCATCACAA